AGATCTTGCTGTTCTTCCCCCTCCCCAGCCTTGCCTTTAAAACCCCAGATGCTAAAAATACCCTGGCCACCTGCTGCCCTAGGAGACAGTAAATCATTGGCCTTCTAGCACTAGAATCCCAGCCAGGCCTGGTTCAAGGTGGCCTCAGGCACAAACCCATGGGGTTAAGTTTCCTTTTTTCCCACCCAGGCTGCTACCAGCAGCTTTCCCTACTGCCTAGGAGGCTAGAAGCGGGAGGGCAATGCACAAAGCCAGCAGGACCAGCTTGAACTTTCTGGAGCCAAGATGCCAACTGGGTGTGGGGTAATCTGGGTAGGGCTGCGGGGGGAGGGGAGGGGAGGCTCCAGGGAAAGAGAGCGGATGGGGCCTCAAAAGCAACAGCTCTACTATATTAGAATAAAGCCAGTACAACCACAACTTGGCACTCCATGCTGTCTTGTTATGCCGCAGCCACCAGATGTCGCTGTAAACAAGCGACACAAGTCTATGTGGTGCCGGCCCTGGACAGGAAGTGAATTAATGGAGACAGCTCTTGCTTGCACTGGGCACTCAGCGGCACGTGGGAGAATGTGCTAACTGCTTCCAGTTCTAATTAAATCTCTCCCCCACCTTCCCCTCCCTCCGCCCCCAACCCTAAACCAAAACACAACCAAGAAATGTCAAAAGATCAAGTAACTTTCATTCTTAACACAGGACCACAGGTAAGAAATGAGAGGCAAAGAGAACTTTTAATGGACTTGACAGCAAAAGGCTTGATCAACAAAGATACTTGCGGGGCATGAGAAAGCAAGCGCAGATTATATTTCACCATGTGGGGTCGCCTGAGAGCTTTCTGGAAAGCCGCGTCCTTATGAATCACCGCTGTCACAGCAAGCGCTGGGGTATGCTCTGATCCTAGCAGTCCCGAGCCAGAGACTGCAGATCCCTGATCTCAAGGCCAGCCTGGCCTACAGAGCAAGTTCCAGGACAGCCAGGGCTACACAGAGAAAGCCTGTCTCAAAAACCAGCAACAATAAAAACACAAGTAGCTGCTATCACTCAACGGCATGGTCCAATCAGTAAAATATAAAAATAGAACAGTGTATAAGCACCAAGCAAGTGATGAAGTTAGGTGCTATTTAAGTGTAATGAGTAGATCCACACGATTAGAAATTACTTGCTGTGGTTTGAATGAGAATAGCCCCCACGGGCTCATCTGTTTGAATGCTTGGTCTCTAGTTGGTGGAACTATTTGGGTTAGGTGTGGAGGAGCTAGGTCACTGGAGCTGGCTTTAAGGTTTCAAAAGTCCAGGCTATTCCCGGTGTTTTCTTTCCGCCTCATCTGGACCAAGATGCAAGCTCTCAACTCCTGCCCCAGCACCAGGCCCGCCTCCCTGCCTCTCACCAAGTTTCCAAGCATAATGATCATGGACCGGGAGCCCCCAACTAAGTGCTTCCTTTTATACTTTGGCTTGGTCATGGTGTTTTGTCATGGCGATAGAAAAGCAGCTGAGGCACACAGGTTAACTTTTTTTTTTTAATGCATAGCGCCCCTCCCCCCTTCAACTGTGTGATTTACAAGAACTTTCATGCTCTTGGGAACACACCTAATGTTTGTGCAAGACCCACTGTTGGAGTAGAACGATCACATTGTTTTTATTTCGGTTCTGGAGGCACAGTCCTGTTTTGTGGCCCAGTTGGAGCCTTAATGGCACGGGCGTTTTACCACATCTTGCTGAGAGGAACACTTTTTAGTGGACTTTGGCCTAGTTCACTGGTCCTCTAATCCTCGAGTGCCTGTTTCCTTGTAGATAAACAGGACTTCTTAAGATCCCTTTAAGCAAAACAAATCTAGTATTCCATGTGTGGCCTTGGAAGGCTCTTGGGTAGCTGGAAAGGTAGGTATACAAAAATTACTACTGAATGCTACCCAGGGCCATGTAAGCGACAGAGACAAAGGCTTGAGAAGTGGACAAGGTATGGCTTCAGGGGGAGAAGGGCTTGAACCAGGACCTAACTTTGCCACATGATGGGCATGGCTGGAGCCTCTCTTTCAAGGTTGGAAAGAGGCCATCTAAATTCTTTAAAGTAAAGCCTGCCTGCTCTGCATTGCATAAACATCCGAGGAAATGGGCCTCACAAGTCAAGGACAACTGCTACCAACCAGCCTCTGCTGTGGGCACACACTCCTCAAGAGTGAAGGCCTTTACATCCTAGCCACAGTTATATCATGTGAAACCTGAAGGGCTGTGGCCTGCAAAACTGAAAACTGTTGACAAAGGAGAGAGAATGGTAAAGTCCCAAAACCCACACAGGAAAATCTCTAGGAAACTGAAAGCAAGTTTGTCATAGTGATTCTGACCAGCCATAGCCTCTCCGCTCTGTCTTCACTGAGGCAGGGACTTGCTGTGTTACCCATCTGCTCCCAAAATACTGGGCTCAAAAGATGCTTCTGACTCAGCCTCTTGAGGAGTTGAAACCACAGACATGTGTTACTAATACCCAGATTTTTTTTTTCTTTTGGCTCTTTCAATTTTCCATTCTCAGCTTTGCACATCTATCAATTTTAGTTACGGGTTAGGGCTGGAAACGAGAGTTTGAGACCCATTAGGGCAGTGCTCTACCACTATGATCAAGAGCTCATCCATGAAGCATAATACACTAAACTGGCTTGACTATTACCGTCTAAGAATTAACCAATAGATGTGACTGTTTCCTCCAGGGAAGCGGGGGATTTGGGGAAATGAATTATGTCTGGGAACTGCAGGGATGTTCAGGTGTACTTCATGAAGAAGAGGCAGACTCTCCGAGAAAGAGTGGGTGGGGGAGGCCAGTGCACTTGTCCACTTATGCCTGGAAGGCTCTGCCTACTGCTTTAGGGCATTTAGAGTCAAGGAAGTTGGCAGTTCACCTGTTCATTCCAGTACTGCCCAATATTGGAGCCTTGTCCAATATTTCTTTATAAATTATTTCTTGTTAGAGCCTTTGTTACAAACCCAAAACAGGCACATGTATTTTAATGACAACTTTGTGGTTGTTTTTGAAACTGTGTTCCACACTGTAGCACAGGCTGACCCCAAACTTCTGGAGATACTCGTGCCTGTTTCTTCCAGAGGGCTGAGATTACAGGTGCCACTACACCACAGTTATAATGAAAAACACCGGGTTATTTTTCAAGCCTTGTATTAGCCAGGGCTCTCTAGAGGAAAAGAACCAACACAGAGAATCAATTGATAAGTCCATCGTTTATATAAATTAATCAATTCAGTAAATCAGCTAGTGTTAAAACAGCAACACTCAGTCCTTGAGGCCAGGTGCCTCAGCAGATCCAGCCTGGTGCTGAGAACCTAAAAGATTCCCGGAGAGCTGCTGGTGCTTTGTTGATGGAAACCTGGAACCACTGGTTCTGGTATCAGTGAAGAATCAGCAGCAGTAACAGGGGATCAACCAGTACAGACAGAAGGCTAGGCTGAAAGGCCAGTGACCTTCCCTCTGCCAGAAAGTGCTGCTGCTATTCAGGGGTGGGTCTTCACATGTTAGTCAAGGCAATCAGGCCAAGTCTTCAGGTGAGGCCCCCTACCCAGGTGATTCGAATTTCTGGCGAGCTCACAGTCAACCAGTTACAACAAACTTTTGTGTTTGCATTCTGGTCTCTCAGCAAGGTTTTATAATTTTCACACCTCAACGTGTAAGCTGTTTTTAGAATACAGGTATTATTGCCACTCAGAATTAGTGGAGCCAAGGCAAATACAAGGGCATGGTACCACCTGGATTCTTAGATGAATCATGAAGGCATCTGCTCAAGGCTTTCTGGAAGGAAGGAGTTTACAAGAGAAATTTAGAGTCCTAATAATGGCAGGCAGGAGCAGCCTCTTTCTGGATTCCTAACACCATTCATGAATTCAGTCTGAGTAGCCTTAATCTAACAGGTGAATTCAGTCTGAGTAGCCTTAATCTAACAGGTGGCTCATCCTAGGTTTTCAGATTAGGATGTGTGCTGTGCAGCCCCAGGCACTATCCCTAAGCATTTCTGGTCAAGGATCCTTACATGTTTCATGTAAGTTTCACTTACATGTTAGTGAAATTGAGACATAAAATCACCCACTGAATTCTCTCAGCATGGTCTTTCCTCCTGCGGTGTTTTAAGGAGCAGGTTTATTTTCTCTGGCTTTAGCAGGGAACTGTATGTATTCACCATAGTGTGAACCTTTGTTTCCAAACATTCATGCTGAAAAATAGCCGCCATTTCTGGTGTCCGTATCAGACATTTTGTGAGGTTTGTGTCTAGGGTCAAATGTCTGGGTTACAAGGTACAGCTTTTAGGGATGACTTCCAAACCAGAGTGAACTCTGCCAGGGAGGCGTGGCATGCTCCACAAGCCGCCGCTGGAACCACTCTCACTTAGTCTGTCTTCTGGCTGACCCCTGCACAAGTGCCTCCCAAAGCAGCAGAAAGCCACCTTTGAGGAACTGGTGAGATGGCTAAGTGGGTAAAGGTTCCTGCCACCAAGCCTGATGCCAGGGGTTCAATTCCTGGGACCCACACAGGGGACAGAACTGAATCCAGCAAGTTGGCTGACCTCTGCGCATATGTGCGCACGCACGCACGCGCGCGCGCGCACACACACACACACACACACACACACACACACACACACAGTGTACAGTATCACTCCAGGTGCCACCATTGTTTCCTGCTGGGTCCACAAATTTGAAAAAAATCTGTCAAACAGAATCAATTCCTTTACTTCTAGGTCTACAACACTAACCCAAAGAGACCACTGAGAAGAAGAAAAGCTGAAGCAACATGTTTCTTTTCTTTTCGATAAGAACTTATACTACTCCTTAGCGTGCGTGGCCCACACCACTCATTTAGCTACATGGCATAACAAGTACGCGCGCCTGCGAGCGTCTAATTAAATATGATCTTATTATAAGTGAAAACTTACCCACCACCCTCCTGTAGGGTCGAGGGTGCAATTCAGGGCCTTGTGAATGCTGGGCAAGCACCCCACTAACGAATCACACCCAACTTCTCGATTTTTATTAACATTTACTCAACAAAAACAAACAGCAAAGTTTGGTACCTTCCAGCCCATCCGTAATGGCTGTTTGAAAACTCTGTAAAAAGGAAGCTTAGATGGAAATGTGATGTCAATCCTGACGGGTAGAGCAGAGCCTCAGAATGGATTGTTCCGAGACTTTACTCACACTTTTTCTCTAAAGCAGCCCCTTGGTAAAGTGCCTTCTTCAGTTCTATCCACGACTGCCACAGTAGTACTCCTGGGATCAGAACCCACAGGCCATTGAAAAACACCAAATAGACCCAAAAGTAGAGCCAGCTCTTGGTGTTGAGGTTGGGACTTCCAACAAGCCACTCAGGGAAGAAGGTCATCCAGCCACCATAGAGTTCACACACGCACAGGGAGATCTGTACGAAATGCCTGTGGAGAGAAGAGATGACATGACACAGGTGCAGCCTGGGACTCTGAATTATGGCATCTTCTCTTTAGGGCAGCACCCACAGTCTCTACTACAGAAACTTGTGGGCTCCTGTGTGGTGCTTCTTTGATGTGTCAACTCAGCCTGGACAGTGAAGACGCCATCTTTCACAGCAGAAGCAACACTGCTCTTTCTAGCAGCGTTCTAACAGTGTTCCATAAGGATGCTGGGTACCTGCACTATTCTCAGCAGGACTTAGTGAGGTCCCCTCTCACCTGAAAAGAGACTTGGGAATGAATCTTGTCCCAGCCTGTTTTCTTAAAGGGTACTGTGGAGAGAAACCGAAACACACAGACAAAGGGTCACTGCTCCTACCTCTCACAGTCACGCAAAGGGCATCAAAATTTGAGACCATATACATGTAACTCTGTAATGTGGCTGCTATTGTGGCCATAGAGGCAAAGCAATGTCAAAGAAGTTAAAAACATGCTTACTGCTAATTCCCTTTAAAAGTGATGGAGGGAGGGGATTAAAGCTGGCAGGGCTCCCTTGTCTGAGGATTCAGGAAAGAGCTTTAGAACCTGTCCTGAAATTTGACACGAAGCGTTTATCTTGAGGGTAAATGTGCCTGCAGCCACATCCAAACGTCACTCCGGGCGCTGGGCAGCTGCTGTCTCCCCTTTCCCACTAGACAGGAATGGACTTACCTGTAATATTTCTCCTTGACTATGGCATAAATGAGGACCAGTGCCAGAAACCCGTCCAGGACAACAGTCAGGATTTCCAAAGACACGATGGTTGGATCAAAATACAGCCATCTCGCGTCAGCCTTGCCATATTCTTTCCCTAAAGACAAAATACGCATGCTTCGTCTCTCAACTGGCAAACATTTTCTGTTGTTAAGATTTTAGGCAGTGTAGAAACTAATGAGCAGCATTATGACAACTTCAGACAACCATATCAGTGTATTCTGGTCATGCTCACCATCCATTATCTTTCCAGTCCCCTTTTCTGCTGCTGCTCTCTCTCTCTTTTTTTTTCACTAAATAGCAACTTTTTACTTTCATGCCATATATATAGCTTTCAATCTATATTAAAATCTGTATCAGAAATGTGTATTTTGCCATTTATTGGTTGAATGATTTAGTTCTGGAATTTGTCATTTTTTAGTTCATTACTATTATCTAATCTTTTTATTGATTCTTTGTGAGTTTCATACACACCTGGATCCCCTCATCTCCTTTATATGTGCCCTCCACCCTACAATCTTCCCAGTGCCTGTGAAGGGCAGAGGGAAGCCTAGGACTAATGTGTGCCGTGCCCTTGAAATAAGACAGAACAGCTGTTCTACTTGCCAAACACAGTTTCCAAACACAGCCACGCATGTGCACCCCACGCTTGGCGCTCTTCACTACAAGCTGCAGGATTTTAAAGTAGTTCAACATTGTCAAATTTTGCAAATACAATATCTAATAATGACTGTTGAAGAGCCTGGGGAGATAGCTTAGTTGGTAAAACTCTGGCTCTGCTAGCAGGAGGACCTGAGTTCAATCCCAGGCCCTCATGTAAACCGTCAGGCTGGAAACACACATTTGCAGTCTCAGCACTGGTAAGAAGGGAACATGAGGACACCTGAAGTTGGCTGGCTCAAAAATTAGCCTAATTGGTGAGTTCCAGGCCAGTGAGAGACCTCAAATGGCAGGAGCTAGATGCCATTCCTGAGGACACCTGAGGTTGTCCTCCACACACACACACACACACCCTCACATGTGATGGGAGTGTTAACTGTCTACTTGACACGATATAGGATCACCTGGGAGACAGGCTTTTGGGCATGTCTTGAGTGGGTGGGGGGTCTGTTTTGCTATCGCTAGTTGATGTGGGAAGGCCTGCCCACTGTGGGTGGCACCATTCCCTGGGTAGGCAACCCTGGGCCGTATGGGAGCTGAGAGCAAACTAAGCATCTGGATGCACGCACCCGCTGCTCTCTGCTCCCAAGGATGGTTGTGATGGGACCAGCTCTTGAGAACTCATCCCACAGCGACTTCCCTGTCACAATGGACTGTCCCCTTCAACTGTGAACTGGAACAAACCCTTTCTCTTTAGATTACTTTTGTCAGGACATTTTATCCCAGAAACAGGAAAATAAAATAAAATATACATGTATAAAAACAAACAGGGGGAAAAAAGGTAGGAAAGATGGCTCAGTGGGTAAAGGAACCTATTGCCAAGCCCCAGATCTGTGTTCCATCCCAAGGACCCACATGATGAAGAAAACTGACCTCCCACAGGTGGTTCACACGTGCGCGCGCGAGCGCGCACACACACACTCACACACACACTTAATTTTTAAAAATTAATGATCTTTTTGAATGCATTATACCTCTTTACGTAAACATTCTCTATGTGTAATTTAGATGTGGAAAATTAAGAAGATATTCCCTAAAAATTCCTTTTGTGGGACTGGAGAGATGGCTCAGTGGCTAAAGGCCCTTGCCACTATTCAGATCACCCAGCATCAACGTGGTAGCTCACAACCATCCGGAGCTCTTGTCCCACATGATCTGATGACCATGCAGTACACATGCATGCACTCAGAAAAAAACATTCATCCGCATGAAAATTAATCAATCTGAAAACACATTTTGTGGCTGGGCATAGTGGCACCCACCTCTAATCCCAGCAACTCAGGAGGAAGGGGAAGGCAGCTCTCTGAGAGACCCTGTCTCAAAACAAAACAAAACAAACCCACCATATTTTGTGATTTTTTTTTAAATGTTTGTTTCACCTTACTAGAGAGAAGACATTTGTCACATTGCCCAGGCCAGCCTTGAACTTCAGCTATTCCTGACTTTGCCTCCTGAAAGCCCTCAATGTGCTTACTGAGGACAGCTGAAGGTCTAGGATGGTGCATCCTGGACTTCAAGTAAACAGCACGGGCAGTGTTGGCAGCATTAGCGGCCCGCCCCTGCAGGTAAAAACTGGACAGCAGTGTACCCAAGAACCTTTCCAGAGCCACCTCAGAATGTTTCCTCTAGAATAAGCCACGAGTCAGGAAGACTTTCCCTAGAAAGTCGTCCATCCACTTAGAGGCCATTTTTATTCCATTACTTTAAAAAGATTTACTTGGGTGGGGGGAGGGGAGAGAGAGAGAAAGAGAGAGAGCATATATGTAGATAACCCCAAATGTGGGCTGGGTACACTGGAACTGGAGGTATGGGTAATTGTGAACTGCCTAGTAGAAGCGCTGGGAACTGAACTCGGGTCCTCAGTAAGTGCAGCGAGTGCTCTGAAACACTGATCTATCCCTCCAACCCCTAATTATTTTATTAAGTTTTATGGAATGCCTTCTGAATTCGTATGTGACCCTGAAACAGTGGCCAGGGTACTCTATATGGTTTCTATTTTAGTGTAAGTGCTGCCAAAGTGAGGACCCTGGTTATTTTTTTTTTTTAACTCATAAAAGTAGTACATGCTGATCTCAAACTCTCAAACGATGAGGGTAAGAGAGTGGACACTCCTTCCCCTCTGTCCTTTCAAATGTGCTCTTGTGTTATATGAGAAGGTGCAACTGTTTAGAAATGAACCCTAATGCCTAACTGGAAGCTCTTGTCTCACGGTGGCCAGAGAAAGGATCCCTTGGGACTAGTGACTAAGATCTCTCTAGAGAGGCTATCCTGAGAGAAAGGCCACACAGGGGAAGACTCTCCTTGCAAGGCCACACACACCATTCGACTTTGGCAAGTCACCTGCCATCTTTAGACATAACTATAGTAATTGAAAAGTAAGGCAATACTGAAAAGAAAAATTCCCTAATTATAAATGTATAATCGAGGTAAAATGAACCAACTGAGCTATCCAAAATCTAGGGAAATCATTTACATAAAATGTCAGTTCTTTAGGAGGAAAGAGGTTAGTGAATTCTTAGACATTAGAAACAGGACTAACCCCATGCCACCACCTCTCTTCATTTTTTAAAAAAAGGATTATTTTTTTATTTTATGTGTCTATCAGGAGGGGAGCATCCAGTTTAAACTCCTGTGGTGTGCTTTCTTTGTTTTACAGTGTTGCATGGGGGCTCACACACGTTAAACAAGTGCTCCTCCACTGGGCCACACCCCGCTGTATGCACACTGGCTAATATATAGCTTTGCTGAGACATAATTCACCTGGCATACAATTCCAATTTTAGTACATTCACAGATTTGAATAGACACAATCTAACTGAGAACTTTTCAAAAGAGAAACCCATACCCATCAGCAGTCATCCACTTTCCCTTCCACATCCCCGTTCCCATCCCCAGCCCTAGGCAACCACTAATTTGTTCTCTGTCTCTCTAGATTCGCCTGTTCTGGACAGGACATGTAAATGGAATCACACAATATGTGATGTAGACATTCAGCTAATTGACAGCCATTTTTGCAATTAATCTCCCCAGACATTTCAAATGCAAATAGTTTTTAATTACTTACATAAAGATGCAATCCAGCCTCGGGAATCTGCAACATTTCCTACTACAGACAAGTAGACAAAAGCGCCTTCCTAGAGAACAGAAAGGGAGACAGGCTGCGCTTAGCCTCAACACCACAGGGTGGCATGGCAGACCTGAGGCACTGCACAGCAGCAGCCCCCATTTGCCCCTGTAAGCTGTCCACATTTCGGCCAGTGGCCTAGAGGACCATACCGCCTTTCCCAGAATGGGAAACACATGGCCAAACCTTATAATAAAGATTATTTTTTGAGAATTGGCATTAGAAAATCAGAGGTGTGTTCTTATATAGAAAAATAAAGTGAGTTAAAATGTTGTTCTAGGAGAGTAATAGACTGTTGTACAGAATAAAATGTATCTCTAGATTATCCCAAAGATCTTAAATTTTGGAGAAGAACCTCAAAGCAGTTTATTCTTTTAACCTTAAAAATAAAACACAGTAAAGGTCTACAGCAGAGTTGAGCCCCTTTCTAGGCTGCATAAGGGCAGATTTAGGAAGGCTTTAACCACTTATAGGCTTTGTTTTGGCATTTAGTGATGAAAATGTCTGCAGGTATCTTAGTTTTCCCCCATTATGGAAGTGTTTCTTTGCCTAAACTTCCAAAAATCAGACAGCTAGAACTCATGGTATGTCTGAGGTGACACTGGTTCCCTTGACTAATTTTTACTATAGGTCAATAGCTTTTCTTCTCCACCACCCCACAACAGCTTCATACGACCCTAAAGCTCTCTGCCTCCGTTCTCCTCACCTTGGTACTATGTTTCACCACTTCTGGGGGTTCCCTACTTCTTTACATTGTTCACTCTGTGACACTATTCATTTGTACCAGTCCTACCAGCAGTAAATCTGGGGCTTACTCTATGAAGCTCTCTTCTTGTGCAGATACACACACACACACACACACACACACACACACACACAAAACTGAGAGGCCTAGAGATGATTAGTAGACTAGCTGGGGGAGGCAGGGAATGCATTAGGATAGCAGTTCTCAACCTGTGGGTCACACTCCTTTGGGGCCAAATATCCCTTTCATAGGGGTTGCTCAAGATCTCCAGAAAACACAGATATTTACATTACAATTCCCAACAGTAGCAAAATCACAGTTTGGAGTACCAAGAAGATAACTATGGTTGGGGCGGCTACACTGCGAGGGGCCATAGGAGGGCTCCAGCATTGGGGAGGCTGAGAACCACCGAATCAGAAGGCAGAGGCGAGAGGACCAGGGTGGCAGCCCAGCCACATCTATGTGCTGAGCTTTAGGGGAGTCTGGGACGCATGAGATCTGTCTCCAATAACCAAAGATTAGCAGACTCCATCAACTCCTACAGCCAGGCTGTGACAGTATACTGTCATGAAGCGGCCACTGAGGCCAAGGGAAATGCCTACAGAAGCCACTGCGGCTGCTCTGCCAGCAAGCCCTCCACGTGCTAGGTAACAGCTGCTATTGTTATTGCTGCTGCTGTTTTACAATAGTCATTTTGTGGGTGCGAAGCGGCATCTTGTGGACTTTGACTTGCAATTCCATAATGACTGGTAACGCTGAATCTCTCTGCATATGCTGCCTGACCATCTGGAGATTTTTTTTCACAGAGATGTCTATCCCTTGTCCATCTTCGAATCATTTCAACTTTTTGTTAATGTAAAAGCATACATATTGCTGCTTGGCACTCATCTTAGCCAGCTTTCTGTTCCTGTAACCGAATAAGCTGGGTGCTTTGTGAAGGAGGTTTATTTAGCTCACCGTCAGTTCTGGAGGTTCAAGAACACCACTTGGGCTCTGACAGTCTTCTGGCTACAGCTCAGCACAACGATGGGAGCATGCATGAAGCAGGGAGATCACATGGGGAGACAGGAGGCCAGAGTGGAGAGGGGTCAGGAGTCGGGTGCTCTTTGAAAACAACTCTTCTCAGTAGAGCTACTCCACATCCTTGAGAGCATGAGCTCCTTCCTCAGCCATGTGGCTGAATGCCTTGAAACAGAACAAAACTTGCATCTCAAGTTGCCCTCATCTTAATATGGCCATGAGACCACAGTACCAACAGCAAGGCTTGGGGGACACACACTCAGAACACATAAGGGCCGTAATGGGCAGGATGAACAAGCGGTTATGACAAATTGAGAGCTTTTGGTAAAGTAAGAGAGGGCTCACTACCATAAGAACAAAATGCCAGCCCATACTGGGAGAGGGGGTCTTCAGCAAATCTTGAGTTCCTTATTGCCCAGGAATGCTATCTTTGCTATTTAAAACCCTAGTGCTCAGGACTCCGTCTTCTCTGCTCAGGACTCCGTCTAGACCCCAGTGCATCCTCCCACCCCCCGCCGTGGCCCCTCCAGACCTGTGCAGAGTCTGTCAGCTACACAGCAACTTGTTCTCCATTCATGTCCCCCACTAGTAAAGCTCCGTTAGGGAGAACCATACACACTTGGCGAGCTCCACAGACAGCTGCAGGCTGCACCTCCTGACTGTGTGCAATCATTGTTTTTGTGGGTTTGTTGCTTTTCCATAGCAGACTTGGAATGGGTCCAGAGGCACGGTAAGGGCTGACCACTGGCTACATGGAGGCTATGCCTGTGTGGAGCTGCTGACATGGGGAGGTCTGATGGGTCAGTGTAGACTTGCCGCTGTCTCAACAGCAACTCTTATTCTGGTGGTAAAATGGGTTTTTAGAGGGACACGGGTCTGTGCTAACTTGTCACTGCTGTGACAAGATACCAGCCATTAACAGAAAGAGTGAATGGGCTCATGGTTCCTGAGTTACTACTTTAACTGCGCAAGGAAGGAAGCTCCCATCAGTGTGGCCAGAAGTTCAGGAAGAGGGCGGCTGAGCTTTTTTCCTTGCTTCTTTCCCTCTCTATTCAGCTGGGCTCCATCTACTGGATGGAGCTACCCACATGCAGGCTGGGTCTTTCACCCTCAGGCAATCCCTTCTGTAAACCTCTCACCCAGAGGCCTGTTTTGCTGATCCCCAGGCCTTTCTCAATCTAATCAAATTGACACTTGGGATGAAATAGCCGGAGCCTTGCACCTGGTCTGAAAGAGGCAACAAAGCAGATCCACAGACACCTGACTTCTCTCTTCACACAGAATTCAGACTATTAGTAACTGTGTGGGTCTTCCCTCAGAGCCACAGTGAGAGCCATAGGCCCGCTATTACCTCAAAGCAACTCTAAGGGCTGGCAACCCTTCCATGCAACCACACACTTGGCCCCCAACCCATTAGCCAGCTTTTCATTACCACAGCAGCACATCTGAGAAGGGCTGACTTCAGAGAAAAAAAAAAAAAGAGTTATTCAGCACACCATTTCAGATGGCTTGGCCTATGGTGGATGGAGAATGGTGGGCTGTATGTGGAGAAAGAATCACATCTCAAACCAGGCGTGGTCCTTCTATAGCAATCCTCTTGCATGAACTGTCAAGAAGGTCCCATGAGGGCTACACTAGCCAATGGCCCAAGAACTTCCCATTAGATGTCACCTCTTCCAGATGGTATCTCTGGAAGATTCCGTGACTTGAGCCTGGCCTATTCTGACCCTGAAAGAACTTGGAAGAAACACAAATAAGTAGACACTGTCCCACTGGCAGCAGTTATCCTAATGACTACATGATAAATTTGGCAAGACTCAGAAGACCAGTGACCCTGCTTCTAAAGAGCCCTGGGGGACCCTGAACCAAGTCTGCTCTAACCATGCTGGAACGACAACAGAAACCATCTAGTGTTATTTCCCAGCGGTCAACACTGTCTGTTAAAGGAAACCTACCGTGTTCCTGACATGAATTCACTCTGTGGTAAGGAACCGTGAAGTTCATTTTCTCTTACCCTTTTAAGTTTCTTTAGGCTCTGAAGCATGAATTTTTACACGGACCTTCTCATAACCAACAGACACATGGCCCATATCCACCCTTCCGGATTAATATCCAGGGTATATGGAGAACTTAAAAATAACCACAAGACTAAACACAATTTTAACACCAAAACCAAAACCAACCAACCAGCAACAACAACAAAAACAAGTTAATAAATCAGTCAGCAAGTGGACAAATGAGTTGAACATTTCTCAAAGAAAGTACAAAGGGCCATACTCATGAAGAAATTTTCAGCACCTTTAGCCAGCAGGGATAAGGAGATCCAAACTACACTGAAATTCTCTATCACATCAGTTGGTATAGCTAGCACACTAAAAACAGGCTGGAGAGAAGGTCAGAGGTTAAGAGCGCTGGCTGCTCTTCCAGAGGTCCTGAGTTCAATTCCCAGCCAGCACATGGTGGCTCCCAGCCATCTGTGATGAGATCTGGCGCCCTCTTCTCTGTGTAGGCATGTGCAGGAAAAGCACCCATGTACATGAAATACATTTTAAAAATAGAGAACACAGGTGGACACGGTGGTGGAACACATGACCGCAGAACCTGGGAGGCTGAGGCAGGCAGGAGGATCGCCAACTCCTGGCCAGTCTGCACCACATAATACAGCCTGTCCCAGAAAGCAGGCTGACACAATGACTTACCAGGTCAAGGCGTTTTCTGAATGAGCCGGGTGACCTGTTTTACTCCCAGAACCCAATCAAAACAGAAAGAGAACCAGGCCCACAAAGTTGTCCTCAGACTTCAAAACAAGCACCTCGGTACATGCAGCAATAATAATGAGACACAAATGGGAACAATAACGAAAACTCCAAATGAAAAACTACTACTGTAGAAGCTTCTTAAAACATAAATATATAAAAGAAATTTAAATGGAGTCGGCATATAATGCAGAAGACAATATCCCAATAAGACATCATATGCTACCACGTAAAAACCTAGTAGTAGAAATAGGGGACTCACAGAGTCATCAAGCTCTCCAGGCCACCGCCAGTGCGTTGGCCACCACCTGCAACCTTATAGTAAGGTCTTATTCAGGAGATGCCACAAACTTATGGCACAGAACACGAAGACATGTAGCTGGTGCCCAGCTGGAAGATTCACCCCACTAGCTAGTGTGCAAAATGCACACTACCGAAGGAGAAAAGCATTCCATGTCACCATCGATAAAACCAGGGAGAAGGCACATC